GGTTTTTTACATATTTACATGTAAAGCCAACCAAAATCGGCATAAATCGCAAAAAGGTCAAATCGAGGTGAACCACCGTCATGGACAATAGAGTCGGTGCGAGAGCGGCAATGCTGTGCCAGAATCCTAAAATTGGTCGGAAAAATTTTAAAACGTTTATTTTAGCATTTTGGAATATTTTTAAATACGTGACGAGTATTTTAATTTTCGCAGAAAAAATTTAAGAAACCCGGAGACCGTCAGGAGGTGCAGTGAAAAGTACGTTGTTTCGGATACTGATCTGAGGTAAGAATCCCTTACTCTTTTTTCTATTTATGGTAAATTGAAGCCTAATAATCAATAACACGGTGTTTTATGAAAATTAAAACATCCAAAAATTAATTACAGGTCACTAGTGGAGACGGAACCGGTCAGTGCGTATTTGTCCTAGTTTATTGTTTATTTTTTCCTATACTGCCTAATGTGTTTACTGTTATATTGTGTGTTTTGAATTACTAGTTTTAGATTGCTTTCCTGATTATTTAGTTTACTTAACTGTATTGCCCTCATCTGTTGTTTTGTTCCTAATAAATGTTCTAATAATGATTTCTTGATTTATGTATCGTTTATTTGCATAACTTAATGTTGATTTGTGAATATGAGGTGTTGGTATATAATTGAGATTGGTTGATGACGTGAAATATATGTATAAAAGGTTTATCGGATACTTTGGGGAATAGTGTACAGACCCGGTGCATAGAAAAAATCCTACCGTGGGCATTACCTTAGCCGAACGGAACTGAAAAGTCTCATTCCAAAATGGGTTGTGAGGTATAATTCTTCCTTATACCGGACGGAGTATTGAGGTGGTGGTATGTTTTGGCGCCCATTACCGAACGGGGCATGGGGACGGTCGGTTACTTACTTTGATATTGGATCCACGCGTAGGGGGGACCCCTATGAACCCCTGGTGGCACTGGTAAATAAGTAAAAAATATAAGTTGTTATTTTGTTTTTTTGGATATGAAATCACAATAATTTTTGAGTTATTGCCTTCATATATCGATCTTAGAAACTCATAAAGATAAGTTTGGAATAAACGATTTTATGTTGAATGAATTTATCTAAATTAATAATTCCATTAATTGTTTTATAACTTTTGCCAACATTCAGTTTTCAGTATCAGTGATTAGTGTGATATTCTTAATGGGGTAATATAGTTCATTCTCCTATTTAACCATTTCAAATCAATAAGACGAAAATCTAGATACTGAATAGTAGGAGGGTTGCGAGTAAAGGTTACCTCACGAACTCCATAACTTTTCAGTAGAGGTTAACCCCATAAGATTTTAGTTTCATTTCTGTTTTCGTTATTTTAACTTCTTTAAAAAAGACATTCCGCAACTTTATTGGGCATCGAATCTACTGTGTAAGTAATATAAATCCTAAATTATTATATGCTTCCACTATTAGAATATATTTTTTTTTCCTTAAGGGTTCGGACCTTTACACCGATCAAGTTAGGGCTCAACTTAACTTTATAGTAGAATCTTTCTATATATTATATATTCTTAACCTTAATTTTCTTGAGAAGACTCAATTTAAGGCAAGTCAAGTATTTAGTTATGATTTTTATTTGCCTTAGGAGCTTATCCCGTATTCTAAGGCTTAGAGTCCTACACTTTCGTGGACTGTTGAAAGTGTGGTTATAAATTACCTTAAAATGCATAATGATGACTATATCCACAATATAAAAGTTGATTTATAAAATAATTTAGTGAAAGTAGCCTTAAAATTTTCTTAATTTATAGTTTTTACTCTTATTAAGTAGGTATCTTAAAGATAAAAGAATTATCAATTGTTAATTTAGTCAAAGTAATTCCTCCACTTTATTTAACTAT